AACTGAAGATGTATATTTATCTCCCTCTAGCAAAGGCATTCCACTATACGATGTCATATTTTCTTTCCCTTTCTTTACTCGTAGAAGTAGTTATCTAGTATTTTCGCCGTTTTTAAGCGCCGCGATGTTGGTTCATGACGTGTCTATAAATAATACGTCATTGGGAAATGTCATTTAAAATATTATATTAATAAACAATTATTAGTCTGTTGGGTTGCAAAGAGGTAAGTTATCTGTGTTCGTTTTTTTTTTCTATGAATGTTTGTTATACAAATCGATATTTGTTCCGAGTCTGGATCCATACTCAAATTAATGGGTTTTGGTATCGATTGAACACGAAATAGTAAGTTATTTTTTATAATCTAAAGAGTTGGCACTTAACTTTGCTTGAAAATAATCATGTAATTACCTCAAAATAGTTGATATATGAGTTTGGCAGAGGTATTTCCGATAAATATATTAGGACTAGTAAATACATCTGTACATTCAACTTGACTGTGACTTAGTAACTTATGGTACATGTCATGGTTGCTTATAACCAACGTCTTCTTGCCCTGTGGTACAATAACAAACAAGCACGATTTATGTTAGCATATGCATTTCCTCGTGCATCTGGTTTGCTTTATAACAGTAATAAACTATAATTTTTATTTTATAAATATTTGTGGTTTGACAGTGATTTGAATATTAAATTCGAACTGGCTGAACAGATGTCAGGAGATTTTTTGTACCACGTTTTGTTTTCTTCATTTAAAATTTTCAAAAATAGAACTAGCCAACATTGTTGTTCATATTTTCATTTTTAAAAATGCAACACAACAACATACCGCTTAGCCTGCAGATACGTGTGTATTATCAGCAGCCTAACTGTTTTTAATAAATAAATATATAAGTGCCTAAATAAAAAGTCCAGTCACACAGTTAGATAAATTAAACCAGAAGCATTTTTACTCCAATTAAGTAAACACACTTTGTCATCGATACTCCGCTCCTGGTATTTATATGAACAACGCTTAATTGATTCCTGATTGATAACAAACTGATCACATAACATTAAACACACAATACTCATTCTTTGTTTTCATGCTTTATTTATTTATGGTTGCTGTTGAATTGTTTTTTTAACATTGATGCACATTATTTTTGTGATTTTTCTAATATTAATGTCGATATTATGACTATAACCAAACATTTTCGTAAATTAAGCTACAATAACATTGCTAGTATAGAAAAAAACTGTTCTCTAGCCTAACTACTCTTTATTATGTTCAATAACACTAGGACTCATTCCTCTTAGTAATTTTCTAAAACCATTTTCGAGTTATTCGTTAGCAGGGTGAAAGTCAAAACATGTATCCATATCTTTACACGCTGGCCCATTGTTCGCCAGTCGATTAGTCAAACTGTTGATAACCAAGCACCAAGCACAAGGCTGTACGCGTAAATTCCTTTGACACGAACAAGGGCGGGCTTACGACGCTTTTTTTTGGCGCTTGCGCTTGGCGGCCATGTTTGTATACCGTTTTAGATCGAAAATTATTATTTTCACAAAATAGTAAAGTAGAATTTAGTAATTATTTAATTAGATAATCGTGTTAAAGTTACATAAAAAGTATTTAAATAGGTAAAAGTGAGAACGTTGCATAAAGTAATAAATTGTACCTTGTCAAAATCAATTTTTCGTCAATTTTCCTATTTCTTTGCCACAAATGCAACCATTTTACCTTTTTAAATAAAAAACCATCGTTAAATACACATGTATGTTTGTTGTAATAATCGTTGTAATATTGTTTGGTTTAGCAACACGCAAGTCATTAATTGTTAAATTGGATGCATTGTAGTGCACAGCCAAGTTCATTTCAAACTGCTTTTTATATATCTATATTTTTCGGGTAGTTATCTGTTTTGCTGTCTGTTGCTCAACACCCCTATTAGTTAACTTTTAAATGATAGTTTATAAGGAGGAAACCATATTTCACTTTATAACGACGTGTTTACTAGCACTTGAGCGATATTTCAAAACCTAAACGTACGCCCTGAAAGTATTTATCTTCTCTTAATAAGTAGTTATTAATACAATAACTCGTAGGAGATACTATCAAAACTTGAATTTTATTGCTAACGTGAATTCGTTTCAATTTCCCGTGAGAAATACATAAGCAATGGTAATTTTCTTGTTTTATTCTGTTTGTTATTGCATGCTTACGCTATCGTGTTTACGACTATCCACCTTATCAAACTCATCGGGTCTTTAAAATTATGCTTCATTGGTAAGCATGCAGCCGTATAAGTAATATGGGCTTCTAAAAATAAACAACACATTGATGTCGGCGCCGCATAATTGTTAATAATGTCGGCTCGCTTGCGTATGTCAATAGATACCAACATTAGCAACTTGCTTCTGCAGAAACGTCTAATTAACTCTATGCAGCGCTACTAGATGGCGTCAGTTATGTTATGCAGCTGTCTGTTGATTTCTGTTTTTATTTTAACGCCTAAGGTAAGCTCATAAGGTGCACATCGAAGTGCAGCTCAATAAACCAATGGAAAAAATAATTTTGTTCTTGTTTGTAATAGTGGCTTAATCACGGGCTTAATCGTCGAGAATTAGCAGATACGCACTTATTTATTACAAGTCAGACGTGCTACCGTTTTGCTTATTGGTAATTATTGTAACTCTCCAACCTGAGGAACTAATGCCTCGGAACAGTTGGTTTTGATAACCGTAGTTTACTGCGACGCTTATTAAAGATATCTGTTTGTATATCAATTATAAAACTAATAATGTTGTAGACACAATAATCAAATTTTATTGAGTCGTACTTTATTAAGTACTATAATAACGATAGGAAAGTTTGTTGTCGTTTTAATTTAATCTAATAAAAAGGTTTTATTATTTAATGAGCACCTCAATATCTTACTTTTCCTTTATAATTGACACGTTTTGATATTCTACGAGCCGTTTATTGCTTGAGTTTATTTTCCGTCTAAAAAGTGTCTATCGTACTTTTAAGACGGATCTACATGATAGGATAATATACAATCTATGGGGTAGGTCCTTGATGAGCAATAAAAATATTTTGTTTATATATTTTTAGTTTATAACTATTTAAATGAAGTAACGCCATTAAGACTAACACAACATATTTGAACAATAAAATAATAAATACTCGTAAAATAAAGTCGAATGATATTTAAAATGTTTTCACCTTAACGGTGGGATAGATATGGCAAACTTTTCCAAGTAATCCGTCAAAATATTCGTTAGTCAAACAAGTACATCATATTATTTGGACAGAGTTATAAACGTCAGGTGGGTGGTAATGCTTACAGGATTACTAACGGAACACCTGGGTTATTAATCTGACATAATGAGATTCTTTGCTTATACTCTGCGAGGATTAACTTGAGTTATGTTTTGACAAAAATCCCAAGTTGAACGAAGTGTACCTACATTACTTTTTAGCCTCGCCATATTTTACTCCTCTGCCATGCATCCAAAATGATGTTCTTTATTAAACAAATAAGTGAATACAATTACGCAGACTGAATTAAACATATAGTATATCCATTACTTATTTTAATTAAAAGTAATTGGCCACTCAAATATGCAGATGGATTAAAATATACAGAGAATAATATTTTCACGTTGATTGCGAACTTTAAATTCTGTGCAGCGGGTATTACTTTTGTTGGTTTTTTTAACGGGACATGCATTTGCATAGGTATTTATTTCAATCTTCTACAATTTCGCACGCCTCTCGATTCAAATATTCGACGGTATTTTATTTATTTCTTGATTGAACCTTTTATATTTCGATATTGCGTGCGTGTAATTGAAGCCATAACTTTTAGTGCCCAAGAATGCTAAAAAAAAATGTTTACGCTTTAAAACAACCTTACATGCTCCGAGCTTAACCTTCCAGGTAATTCACCCGTCGCTTTGATTTTGTTTTTGTTCGAAAAACAATCACGTTGAAAGTATCTAATGAAAGTTTTCTCTGCCAATTAACATCGATAGCTGTTTACAAAACAAAAAAGCTTTTCAACAACACCAACCTTATTATTGAGGCGAGAAATTGTTATTAAAAAGTTCGTTCTCGCATAAATTCGCCAAGGTTTCCTATCGGGGGTTTATATCGCAATTAATTCGATGTCGATTTTTCCCGCCCATTAGTTAACGTTATCGATTCGACACAAGCAATTAGGTGGTCGATCCGATCCTCGCCGTCCGGGAGTCCGATCTCTGCGACGGGCCAAACATGATTGATGACGTTTTTACCTTATTACCGAAGTTATCCCCTCCACGGCTTATCAGCTTACAACAAGGGGGGAGGGGAGGGGAGTTCCTCATTACGAGATTGCGGTAACGTCGTGTTCAAGCCTGATAACAGTATTTGAACTCTTTGAAGGGTTTCATTTATTTCATTTACATCCCTTTGGGTTCCTTTTACGTATTCATTATATTACGTTTTAAGGGTCTAAAGGCCAACCCTTTATTTGAGTGATGAGGTTTCGCTTCGTGTAAATAATGTACCGTTGAAACTTAATTATCAGCTTACATTCTTCCAATTACTGATAGTAGATTAGACGAATTTACTATCTACAACTTCTTTTAGTCATGGCCAGTTAAGATGTCTTCTAACAATAACAAATCTTTTCCACACTTATCTATTTCAATCAAATATAGAAGACCTGACCGATAATTTAGCACCATTTTTAACTTTTAGCACTTCATACTCAAAAGCAAGTTTTAATGTTCCGTTAGCCACATGTTACATTATAATAAAAGGTCTATCATCTTTGATAGATAGCGTGATGCAAAAATTAGCATGTTTTATGTGTTCCTTATACCTCTCGTAAAAAAACCCATTCATCATCAGCCCATCGCCATCCGCTCCATAGATATGTTGCGTCCAATCGCCAGATATCAATTTGAGAAATTAATTTTTAGCACTTATATTTCTAACTCGTATAATGTCTAACCAGCTTTGTTCTTCATCATTCTAGTGGGCGGGATGTCTCGCGGCGGGAGCGGAGCCGGAAAGACGGCGACCGCGAAGCGCGTGCCCCCGCCAGCAGTCCCCGGAGATGCCTTCGGTACCCCACAGCACCGACACTCGGGCTCCAGCTTCGGGTCACAGGGGTACGCCTCCTGCGAGGAACAGCCGTACCCTCAACCACCAGATACGCCGTCACATACTAGAGGTAAGAATCCCCTTAAATAGTCTACATATACTTATCATCAGCAGGAAAAATGCAAAATATTTTTTTTTTACTATTGTATTGTTATGGTATTTATTATGCTACTCTTTGCCATACCACGAAAGAGAAATCTGAAAACATTTTAGTTTTAAATAATATCTATATTTATCGAAAACAATATTCATTGTCAGGTTACATACATAAATGTTACCATGATTAACTCGACTCTGCATAGAATGATTTTAACTCCATTTTAATCACACCAATCATCTCTATTCCAGATGACCACTCAGACTATGGTAGCACGGTGTCCGGTGTCTCCGGCGTGTCAGGGGCGAGTGGAAGCCTCGGCAAGAGTCCGGCAGGTGGCGGCACGTTCACATTCCCGCCGCCCGCTCAGCCACTCACACATAAAGCAGCAGTCTACTACCATCACCAGCTAGCACTTAGCGATGACCAGGGGATTGATATGACACAGGTAACATCAAATTATACTCACCAAACAATTATTATAAGGAAAACATACCTAATACATTCCTTAACCTTATCTAAAGTAAAAAATATTATTATTTATGAGCAAAGTCAGTGGTTTATAGTTAGCTATAAGTTGTTTATAGTTAAGCTAAAACAAATTTCTACTATCTTTCATTTTTAAATGTGTTGTTCATAATATAATAAAGTTACAAAAAGCTAAATTCCAAAAATGTTCAGAAACGCACACTAAAATATTCCTAAACACGGTTTGACTGCATGGTTGTCGCAGTAGCTGCCTCACAACGTGTCGCGGGTTCGATTCCCGCACGTAACAACTCTTTGTGTGATCCACTAATCGTTGTCCTGGGTCTGAGTGTGATGTGTATATGAAATTTTATATTTGTGAACACACACACGACACACAATTCACGACAAAAAATTCAAGTGTTGGCCAACGTTAATTTAAAAAAACAAACAAGAAAGTCAACTACACCATTGAAATGAGAATTCTATTTATTACCTACATTGCTATCTAACTACATCGATTTCCATTTTATCTTCCAGAGTCCAGGCCGTGACAGTCCAGGTTCGTCATCAGGTTCTGCCGGTTCAGGGTCCCGTCACTCCTCAGCGTCATTAGACAGCGGACGCGCGTCAGGTCGTATGCCGCATCACCACCATGCTGCCTGCCACTGTGGGGACCTCGCTGACAGAGTGCGAGCTATGATCGCTCAGGGGTTGCCGGTTAGTATAAATGTTATGAAAAATTAAGCAGGCATAAATGATGATGAATGTAGGTATACATTCTAAGAATTTGAGACAAGTAGATAAATCGAATTGTAAAATTCGAATTCTTCGAATATTAAAAGAAAAATTTTTAATATTCGAAGGAAATGAGGAACCATTTCGAAATTCAAACTTAGAAAGGAATATCATCGAAACAATTTGGCATACATAATTTTGTAGCCAAATTATTTCTTCAATGTTCTAGTGAGCAATTAAATATTTATAAAACCTGAACCTGTTCTGATCCATAATCTAGATTTTTAAAGAACATCCTAATCCTAATGATAGAATAATAAAAAGTAGACCCGTCTCTTGGACGTGTCAGGAAATCCAATCACTTTTGAAATCCTGCCTTTAATGCACTGTCTTAAAGTTTAAATTTACTTTTTACAGGATACAGACATAATCCACGCGTGCCTAGCAGACCTTCAAATGGAGGAGTACGCTCGTCTCTTCATAGAAGCTGGTTACGACCTGCCAACAGTAACAAGAATGACGCCCGAAGACCTAACAGCCGTCGGAATTAAAAAGCCCAACCATCGTAAGCGGTTAAAGGCTGAACTCGCCAATTTAAATGTGCCGGATAACCTCCCTGATTATATACCGGTAAGTATTCGTGTCTTTAGAGATCAAATTATTGAATTCTGAAAAGTTTCTAGAATTATTCGAATGGCCAGCAGTCGATTCAGTTATTTTGAAAATTCCAGGTTTCGCTCTACACTTTTCTTAAATGACACAAAATTGTTTATCGTCAATCAAAGGCGTCAAAATCGAAAAGACTAATAAAGGATTGGTTATGCACTAAGCTTTTGAATCCATCAGACAAAAGCACTATAAGTAGGTAACCAATAACTAAATCATTTTCCCCTATAATTCCAGGGTTCCCTAGAAGAATGGCTGCGATTACTTCGACTCGAAGAGTACGGACCCGCATTAGTAGCCCAGGGTTACCGCACCGTACATGACGTCACACAGCTAGCTTGGGAGGTAATATACAAAAACCATAATTTCATATGTTTTATAGCATAGAAGTTATTGAAACGACTGTCTATAAATAATTTATAACAATCAGAGCCCAATTTGGTGCACAAGATTCAATATTAACAGCGACTTCTAGTTTAAAAACAATAAATAAACCCTTTAACGTATCTTTACAGGATCTAGAAGACATGGGCATTGTCCGTCTGGGCCACCAAAAGAAAATTCTTCTTGCCATCAAAAGAGTGAAAGACATTAGAGCAGGAAAGAGAAGCATTAGCAACCAAGGGTCGTTGGACTTTACGAGAATACAACCGGGCCAGGTCAGTACTATGAACTAATAGATACACCGTCATTGTGTTTGTAGTGATGTTTTAGAATTTAGACTCTTGATAGATTAAGGACTTTTTTGTCGCAGACTTTTTGACATGAAATTTAACAAAAAGAAATTGTTTGTCTATTTATATTGTCAAAAGTTTGCTGCAAAACCACAGACCTATTTATGACAGCGGATATAACCTATAAAACTATAACCTTTACCAACAAAAACAAAAAGGAAATGTTCAAAAAAATCCGCTTTCGTAATAAATTAACTAGACCGTGCAATAGAGAGCAAATTAGATTTTCTATTCTGTCAATGAAAAGATTATTTTCAAAGCATCACTTCAAATCAATATTTTTTTTATTTTTGTTTATTTTAATTTTATGATTTTTATTTTATTTTCACATTACATCTCATTTCATTCATCGGCCATCTTGATTTTTACCGCCAAATTTTCTAACAGAAACGAAGCTATTATATTTAATTACTGAATAATAAAATATCTAATATTTATATTTCCTTTTGTTACTAACAGCGTTATTTTAACAAAAGCGTTTTAATGGCTTCACTATTATACCTTTATTTTAACTAATTAAAAATTTCCGTTGGCCAACCGAGGCTTTTGTTGTTAGATCCATATTGTGTTAATCCTGCACAGAAATAAATTAATGGAAAGCTTTGTTTGCCGAGCCGAAAGCTGACACATTATGGGAAATCTATAATAATTGACTAATTGGCATAAAAGTTTATAACAATACCTAATTATATGTGTGTGGTGTTAAAATTGTTTCAAGTTCCCAATGCGTTCAGAGACGTCGTTATCATTTTGCTTAGAATTTAGGTGTACCTACGTCCATCACCATCGCCTTCGCTGGTCGGATGCCCAACAGTTCTGCGATCATTTTGTGTGTCAAATCCTTCAAATATTTTTGTTTTGGATTCAATATTTTACGACCCTATAAAACAACATTAATAATCTTACTATCTACATATTTATTCTTTAAAGAGGTATTATTTAATTTAATAACTGTAAATTTCTTATGCAAAGTTTTACTGTCAAAGGCAGCAAAAGATCTTTCTTTATTTTTTTAAATCTGGCCGTACGGCATCTCTACTTGGAATCAAAAGAGCCAGTGGGCCATGGAGTCGCAGAGTTGTGATCCGCTAGCACACACGTCCATCCGCTGCATCCACCTCATTCCACTAGCCCGAAGCAGCATGTGAATGTTTTGTTTTCTTTTCTTTTTCCAAACACAAACCGCACCTTGGACATAATCGGCTAAAGGATTTATATCCGAGGGAGCTACATTACCAGCCTTGGGAGAGACAACGGAGTTACCATAAACCCCCCGACCTAAACTTTGACGCCATACCGACGCCCCTTTGTGGCACAGATTTGGTCCCTATTCAGGTATGAGACAACCTCCTTTGGCACAGGTCTTGTCAGTTTGTTCTCGATGCACCCGAGCACCGGCTTTTATGTGCACACGATTGTATCGTATAGTGAACGCAGTGTTTTCCATGTGTGTGTGTGACCGTTTTACTTGTACCAGAACAAGCCTTACTTCCCACTACCGTAGAAACCGCTGTGAATGATCTGTCCTGCACGGTAGTTAGATGTTCCACTTTAATTTTAATTGATATTATATTATATAAATTACCTAATAAGATTTTATACTAATTGCGCATGGTTTTAATAACGCTAACATTATGAATATTTTATTAATAAATTGACAAAACAAAATCTTAAACAGACAGCATGGTAAGAAGAGCGACAATAACATGAATTGTAATATAAGTTGATGCCGTTGTTTCGTAATTGTAACTGTTTTTTGAACGAACTCTCTATGTAATTATAACTTTGAGAATTTTATTTATTTCATTATAATTAGATTGATACTTGAGCTATAGGATAATAAAATGAATAACCAAAATGCCAACAGATACGTCATCCGCGCGGAAAATCACTAGAGAGTCTAGAGGATCCTTCAGAGAGAGCATCACACACGACGTTTTCACCGGAGGCCGGGTTCTACTACGGCGGGGGCCAGTGGCGGCGCTCGTATGACGACGGGGACATCACGCCCACTAATGACTCGTACGAGGGAGGCGGGACTCTGCCCCGGCCGCGAGGGCTCGTGCGGCCGCGTCCCGTGGCCAAGATAGCTGCTACTCCCGCGTACCGCGACAAGTCGCCCGACTACGCGTATGACGAGCGCGCGTACTCAGCGCGACTGCAACGCGTCGCTTACGGCGCCAGCCCGCACGTCGCACGCAAGCCACCACCAGAGCCGCCCAAGCGCCAAAGCTCTCAATACGCTCCCTTCTCGCGTTTCGGCCAGACGACTGTAGAGATCCACCCTGAGAAGAGTCTGCCACTATCTCTCCCAGCGTACCCGAGCTCGGACTCCCTGTCTGTGTCGCTGGACAGTACCGGCCTGCTGCCGCCGCCGCCCGCGCCCGCCAGCCCGCCGCGCCGGTACGATGACGACAAACTACGCACCGGCTCTGATGCTAGCTTTAAGGTTAGTTAACCATACCATTTCCTAGGTTAAATACATCTATTTTTCCACGTTTGTAAGCAACGACTTTTAATTATCTTGGTATGCACCTAATATGTTATCAAGTTGCTATTGAAGTTTTTCGGAGTAACTTTTTATTCGTACATATTTAGTATTTTTTATCTTTACTGAATTTACTATTTCATCCTTACAGTCAAGCTCCAGTACAGAATCGGATAGCATTCCGTTTGCGAATGAAAACGCTGGGACCATAAAGCAAAACCGCGGTCAGATCGGAGGTCGGCCGCATACCGGGGACTACGGCCGCACTGGGATGGGGCTGGCCAGCCTGCCGCCGCGGGGCAACGACATCAAGCCCACCACCCCGCATGCACTGCCCGAGCACAAAGACGAGAAGAGCTCGGAGCCAGTCGACGTACTCAACGACATCGGCAACATGTTAGCCAACCTCACGGACGAACTCGACGCCATGCTGGAAGAAGAAAAGCGCCAAGGACTCACAGATTCCTAAAACCCACAGACTATACAAAATAATTTGTACTCGAATACATTGAAAACTTGTCAAAACTTCCAAAGAATTGGACATCGGCAAAGACTTCCACTAATTTAATGTTTATGCTGACAACTTTTGATGACGCAAGCAGCTATATTATAGGCATCTACATTATTTTAGAAGTGTAGCAATATTAAAGCAATTTTATGTGTATTGCGTCTTTATGATTGTGAATTCTGAATAGGGAACTAAACGTTGATGGGTTAAGTGTTTTATTGAAAGCGATTGAATTCAGAAAGTTAGGGTTTTTATACAATATACAAAACTAAACAGAGCTGTGTAAGCATTTCTTCCATTGCATAATTATATTTACCTCTATTTCAAAGGACTGAGTAAAGTAGAATGTGATGTTAATTCGACTTTCGAAGTCTGGAGTTGGAGTCCTCCATTTTGTAATGTGACAAAACTTTTTGTACAAGTTGCTTCAGTCAGTACGTGACCATTCCAATTCCGCGCTGAGCTCGCTACTGCACGAAGCCACGACTAGCAGATAGTAATGTCACTTGCCACCAAACTATTCCTACACGACAAACAGATGATATACATACGTACTATATAATAGTTTTGTAGCATTTTGTACCGACGTAGTACATTTTATACATACTTGTAATCTAAACGTATAGTTCGCTACGTGCCCTCTGTTATATCCATTTAGTGAGCTGTGTATTTTTGTTATTACAAATAATTAGTTCCTTGTAATATTAACAAATTGAGTGTTTTATTGGGATAGGAAAGAAATTAGATGTTAGACGGATCCAAAAAACAGACAAAAATGGCTATTTTTGTAAATATTGTTTTTACTTAAATTATGTCATAGATAAAATATATCCCAGTAGTTAGTTTTTCATGTACAATAATTGTAGAGTATTTGATTATGATGTAGAGATTAATGTAGCTAGAATTTATACAAAACGTTAGTCTAGTGATAGTGTGAAAAATTAGGGTTTACATATTAATGTATTATAGACAAATATAAAGTTAGCTATAGCCCTCATAGACCTTGTATGTTAACAATCTTGTAACGCATTAAGGACATGGCGTTCGCCCCATCATTGGAAACAAAGACAAAGTTATGCTTCCCTCTTTATATAGTCTATACCTCCATCTAAACGCTTGGCAACACTGCTTGCATCGGATTGCAGACGCCCTCGCTAAAATGTTTATGGTGTTACTGAATTACATTAAAACTGAACATTTCGTACTTTTATATCTGAATACAAATAAAATTGATTCTTTAATTTATTCTACACATTTCAACGCATGTCCAGTCCAGATGTGATAATAAAGCGGCCATAATTAAACAGTTAATATTTTGTTATGGCAATGTTAAGTAAAATGATCTGTTCAAAAAGTACAGCAACATTTTATATATTTAACAATAAAACGTTTTTTAATTTAAAACGAGGAAGGGTTTGATATTCATTTATAATATAATCAGTCAAATGGAAAATATATCGTATAATTATTTAATTAACGATTCTAACTCGTTTTTTATATTCAAAATGATATTTACTTATAATGCTATAAAATTTTACCTAACATTGTTTACAAAATAACAATAACAAAATAAACGAAACATACAATTTTCTTTACTAACACCGTGAATGTAATTAAAGAATAACATCTTAATATAATTAGAACCATATACTTAAGCTTACCTTTGTAAATATATAGAAATATGTGTTTCTATACAGTCTTATTTGATATTCACTCGAAAAGTAAACATTTTGTATACCTACCTATGTAATAATAAAGAACAGTTTTCCTTGACCACTCGCGTTTTGTAAGGTGCTAGACGAATTAAAAAAAAAATGTGTACCATCGCGTTATACTTTAGTTGTTCTATGAGCTAGTCAAAATTTATTTCATTTCGAGTGGCAACAAAGCAATATCTTCATGCAATCGTTCGTTACTTGTATTTAATCTGTATTGATTGTTTAAAATGTAATTTAATATTATTGAGCAGCTTATGATCCTCATTTAGTTCGTTTCTTATTTCAATAAATATATTTGTAATATCTATTTTCCGTGTGTTTATTTACCTGTGTAAATCATAATGATGTTATAATGTTTTACGTTAAATACTAGACTTGGAAAAATTAGCTAGACAATATCATCTTAGATTTCATTTGACAAATAAAGACTTAATTTTTATATCAGTATTTCTTGGCAAATCAATGAATAAAAGTTTCTATGATTATATTCTAATAGTTCATTGTATTTAAAAGTCCAAATAATGTATTATTGCTAAGATAGGTACTACCCAGTCCGAGACTTGACATTTAGTTTTTTTTTATTCATTACTATTTTAAGATTTTGAAAATTGACGTTTAGTTATCTACTTATGAAAGTTAAGAAGGATCGTTGTGTCTTTTGTCAATTGTCTCCATCAATCCCTTATCCTTAAATATCCTAAAAGGCCAGCCGGTCCCTAAATGCATTCGTAACTTCTATGGAGTTGCCGGTGTCCATGGGCGGCGCCGAATGCTTACCATCAGGTTATCATCTTATTTAATTAAAAAACATAAGTAGGTTATTATATATCGTAAAAAACTCAATATAACATACGTTTTGTCGTAGACGTAATGCAAACCACAAAACGTTACCTTCCTTGCCTTCTAAATAATGTGAGAAGACCAGAATTCGACGCTTTGCTAAAAGATCAGCGAGTGAGATTCTCAATAAATCTTCTTAGCAGACTATATGTAAGAGGAATACGAAGCTCACGGGCTACCTCATGGTAAGCAATCAGCACTGCCCGTGGACGTGCAACGAACTTAAACACAATAATTTGGGTAGGTAAAGTAAATGGCATCATTAATTTTGAGTTTGAAAGCTTTTACAGTTTTGGAGCAGAATCTTTTAAATATACCTACAAAAGCTTAGTAAAAGAAATCATCATAACACATATTCCATAATACATAATCGATGATCATAAAGACGAAAGTAACACAACTGTCTTATCACAAACAAATCCCGCGCTAACCTCGTTCCGGACTTCATTTCCGTTTTCACGAAACCCCGGAAGATAATAAGTCTCTCGTCTCTTTCTAACCTACTTGTCATGTCGATGGCATTTTCTTTCATATGAAAACTAATCTACATTCATTTGTTAAAAATATTACCTATAATGTGCATATAAAAAGCCACAGTAAATTAAAATATAAATACTGTCAACAATAAATATCTACAACATATTTTACGTATGTGTATTTTGGGTGACAGCCCGTTTTCTACCACCTAATGCCATTTTCCGGAAAACTGAATTTCCCCGAAGCTTATTGGCAACCCTACGCGAGTCCTAAAACTCCGACCAATCACAGCGCGCTTCAGCAGATCGATGCCGCTTCGCGAGCACGGAGAACGCAGTAATGTCACATTTCCCTGTTGTCATCTGTGAATTTGGTCTGCGCGATCGATAACACGAATTGGCTATTCGTAGTTACAGAGGTTGAATACTTATTGAGCCGTTTATGGACGGTTAGTTAACATTGGTGCTTCAAGTAGCAAAAATTTTATTGTAAAGTGATAAAATGGACACGACCGGGGCGTACGGCGGCGGCAAGGCCGGGGGCGCCTTCGATCCCCAGCAATTCATCCAGAGACCTCCCGTGATTGTCAGGGCGGTTTGTTGGGTAAGATACTTTACATTCACGATATGCGGAATTCATGTAAAACGCTCAATTCAGTTTATTTTTCTCTATTTTTAGACTAGTTTGAATAATTGAGCTCTATTTTTTTCTTTTATGCAAGGAAAAACACAAAGTGTCATTACAAAGATAGGGACTATAATTTGATAAACGTTTAAAATTAGAATATCCTTCTAACATACCTACACAAGACATGAAAAAAACGCAACCTATAAAAAACCAATGAAAATTTTTGCGATAAAAATAATTTTCCAAACATATAAAAGGCGTATCAATTTAAATATGGAATTATTTTCAAACATAGACAGACTGTTTTTCAAACACTGCATGTAGGTAATATATCTACGCCATGTGACTGGCCTTGTGTTAAGTAAAGAGCTATACAACATACAATAGCCAGTTATTATCTGTGCATACAGTACATTGGTTGCACCTATATATCCGTATCTTGTATTACACCCACACTGCACGAATGCACATTGATTGCAGCTTGAACCTTACATAAAAGTGACCAATAAAATATTTATAGACTACAACCGGGTCACAATGGATCATTATTAAATCTACTAGGTATTGCTTGAGAAGATTTTGTTAGTCGAAGATGAAATATCTTGAATTTATTAATTACTCCTACCAAGTACATACATACATTAGATATATACCAATGCACAGATTTTCTATAGGTGCTTTTAGAAAGATGTTTTTTATTGCTAGCTATTCTACTTCTAGGTAGTCATAATAGGTAGCCTATGTCAATAAGAAAGCGTCGTTGAACAAAAAATGCGTTTTTTTTACATCAGATAGGTAAAACGAAGAATCATAATAAAGTCACGTTTATCTTCTTTGCTATACCTCCCAATCAATACATTGCTCATAACGTTGTCCAAACCGTAGAAATATATCAACAGGCCATTAAAAATTAGGAAACAAATAAAATACGATCACAAAAAGGTCCGATATTATTGAAAATAGCTGATAGCTATCTTTAATTCAGGTCATTTTACCGTTTACAAAACTTTTAACAAAAAAAATATCGTCAATTTACTACTAATTGCTTTCCTGATTACTTTTCTCGTATGAAACATTAGCTTCCGCCAGCAACTTCACACGCGTTAAAAATTAATGTATCCCGGGATTTTAAAAAAGAGCAGCGTTTAAAGCGATAGCTCGACTAAAGTACTCAAATCAAGTATAACTGATAGCCAGAAGCTATCTATATAGAGCAGATAGCTATCTATCAGTGAAATCATTTTGGAAATCCGACCAGGCAGCGGTTCCATAGATTATCTATCCCTATATACAAAGTTACAAAATTTACCTCTTTATAATATTCGTATAAGTACATAACATATTACACCAACACGGCTATGGTATAATGAATCTAATGTAGGAACAATACATCAGTGTTATCATAACAGACCATCGTTTTAAAAAAGGTCAAGGTCAAACAATCAATAAAACTGTGTCCAAATTAATTTCTTTACGTTAAAGTTAGTAAAAATTCTCTAAAAGGATGGATAGTGTTAAGAAGACTGTGATAGTAATGGCTGAAAGTTACCAGAAGGCCTTCTCCTTTTCTTTTTTAAAAACAAATCTGCCATTAGGAAAGCAAGAAAAAATGCGGACATTCGTGACACAAAATGACAAAATGCGGACAGTGTTTGTGTCTGTATCTATCAAATTAATGATATTCAATACTAAATAACAATGTACATATATCAATCGCTAAGCTCCTATGTGTCTCGAAGTTATGAGATGCATTTAGTTGTCCGAGACTGTGATGACTGCCTATCGTTCATGCATGTGATCGAATGGATAATGTATATGGCTTCTTTTATGAGAAAAAACATCACTAGACAGATAATTACTCAAAAAAAAAAAATGGAAAAGTACTTCTACTAAATCGTAGGGATCAGATGGGTAACGAGTAGTGTTATAATACTCAAAATCAGTTAAGTAATTAACAATCAGACGTTTTAAGAATCATAAGATTTTTTTATGAGACCTTTTATTTTGTACCCATTTTCGCAAATGAATAAATGATTATGATTATGATGATTATAAGTAAGATACTTAGTTAAGATTAATAAACAGTAAAAGACAATATCTTGTCGTTAAGAACTATATCCATAATAGAATAAAGAGCTAATTCCAGCCAGGGTTGTGGGGCTAGCGCAATAAGGTACCACAACCTCGGCCTACAGAAAGAGAAAGAACGGGGGAGATTTGGTCAGTAACCCAGAGCAGGAGAAGTCATTTGATGATTTTCTCTTACAAAAGAGAAGTCTATGCAAACTAATGTTATAAAAGCGAAGGAACTCTGTCTGTCTGTCTTTCCTTCACGCCTAAACTACTGAACCGTTTTCTGTGAAATTTGGTACAGACATAGTTTGGAACTCGAGAAAGGACATAGGTTAGTTTTTATACCAAAAATCTACTGAAGCCACTATTCCAAAAGCGGCCACAAGCTAGCTACAGTTAATCCTTTAATAATTTTCCCAGCTGTTCAGCGTGATAGTGATGGGCTGCATATCAGCCAAGGGTTGGCGCACAGGGGAAGATGGCAAAGAGCGATGCGTCTACAACGACGATACGAATGCTTGCAACTACGGAGTGGGGATCTCCGTGATCGCGTTCATAGCTTCCATCGGGTTCATCGCTGGCGAATACCTGTTCGAGCAAATGTCTTCGGTGAAGACCAGGAAGCACTATGTACTGGCTGATATGGGATTCTCTGGTAAGTTCACAACTACTTTCTAAGGTACCTAGTCACACAGTGCCTTTACACATGTTTCGAAAGACATGATATCAATTCCAATACACTCTATAATTTTCCAAATTAAAAATATGTAGGTACCTTATTAACATTTATGCATTTTTTTACCAATACCAATCGGATCGGAATAGAAAAAGGTGATGCGAATTGAATACTTAGTAAGGTTGAGACCCATGCTTGTTATATCTGTGCAAGCACAGAGTATGCTTGTTAAAAGATGACGAATGGGATCTAGCAAAAACCGTGATAACAAGCGAGTCAATATTGACCGTGTTACCCTGATCTAACTCGCGAGACTCGTTACGTAATATTGATGAGGTGAGACCTCATTCTAACACAATTATCTGAAGAGCTCACTCTATGATAGGTATACAATATACATACTTACATACCTAGGTGTTATTTTATAATCATAAAGATTTTATATGACATTATGTGCAGCTTTTACCAATTATAGTACACAGTACCTAGTCGTAAAAAGACTTTTCGTATGTCTATCTGTTTTTTACCCTTCTAAATTTTATTTCTGATCTTTTGATTTTACCTTCGAATCATAATAATCGCAATGTAAGTAACTAGCTTCCGCCAGCGGCTTCACATGAATATAAAAGTAATGTATAAATCCCGGAATTTTAAAAACAGCAGCGCGACTAGATTACGCTTGTCAATTATATTTTAGGTATGGACTCAGTATTCTTAGGAAATTTACCTCTTTATGATAGGTATTAGCATAGATACAAGTCTCGGCCAGCAGCTTCGCCCGCGAACCAAGGTAAAAATTAATCTACCTCTGTGCCACAACTCAGTCAGATCCGTTCAGCAATTTGTAAGTGAAGAAATAACAAACCTTCATACTTACGAACTTTCGCGTTTATTATTTTAGTGGAATATGGCTAGCTTATTTAAGTATATGTAAGATTTCCTTAGAGCTGACTCTCTAGTGCTTAAGCCTCGCTAAAGCCTAGTGGTTCTTGACGTCACAGCTCATGACATTTACTCGTTTCATTTTCCCCTCGCCACGCCCTACATAGAAAGGCGGAAGCAACTATACTACAGTAATACTAAATAACAAAGCGAAGACTTTGTAATTGCAAGTAAAGAAATAAAAAATGCTCTAACAAGGCCAAGCGGTATCGCAAACCCTTGAACACTATTTGGCCTAAAAAGTTACTTATAATTGCAACTGTTTAAAAATCTAGGTTCCAAAATGTAGGTCATTTTTTCTCAAGAGGATTACCTAAATGTACCTACCTACATACATTTACGCTTAACTCTTATTTAAAGGGTAGTAAGAAGCAATGGAACACCAAAATAATACACAATGTTTCTTTGCTTCTGGCACACCGCTTGTGTTTTATGATCTACATCCATGCTCATCGATAGAGGCTAGTTTTATATTTTTTATTAACATTTGTAAAGAGTATATTCGTTAAAAGTATTATTTTACTTTATTAATTTTAATTATCTCAAAACCAATCAACAATTTAATGGTTTCCTCAGCGAAAAATAAATTATTCAAATTTTTCAAAACTTAAAAACAACCTATTTAATGGTAATACCACTTTTATTCATTGATAAAGATGATTAAATTTAAGAAAAAAAATATATGACGCATAAAACTTTATAAAAATTGAGAGACAATTGCAGTTTTTTTAAAGATTAAAAAATATAATTGAAATTGGCCTCGTCGAAAAACTACCATTTTCACGTAAAATCTCAAAAACATTCTCCTTCAGAGTAAAGTGTAAGTATGTCAATAAACTCGCAGTGAAGATAAATTGATTTTGAGGTCGAATTAATTGGCCTCATCAGTGAGCAGATTTATACCTATCTATATGTAGTATGGGCTACCTATCATATATGTGTGCATTCCGAGTCACGAAGGTCAAATAACTGTTATATAATAAGGTGTGGGAGAAACGCCTCGGCACGTATGGTTCAGGTCGACCGGAGTGATACCACGGCCTCACAGGAAACCATAGCATTGAGTTTTACCATGTGAGTTAAGTTACGGGAGACCCTTTAAGAACCTTTTAAGAATTCTGAATTTCTGCTTCAAGATTTCACTTGAAAAACAAAAGTAGGTACTTCATAAATTTAAACTTAAATACTTTGCAAGTTATATAAAAGCTAAGTAAAGAAGATGAATAATAAAAGGATTAGGTAGTTAGACTAGGATATATTATAGAAAATTATAGCTACAACAACGTTTTCCAACGATGTTAATAAAACATTCATAGCGATAACTGCAGTTTATTTAAATTACTCCGACTATGAACAAACCAACCGTGATTGTAATGAGAACAATTACTTTTAATACATTACCTTATACCAAGAACAGGTAAAAAGAAACAAAATATGATGTTTACAGAACAATTACAAATTATAGCTGTAATTCTGTCTAAAGTACTTTGGACACAAGTTCGTAGCAATAGCAGTAGAATGTCTTCTCGTTATGGTAGTGAGCGAACAAAGAATGAAGAAGAATGGAATGCTTGTATTGAAAGTTGACAAATCCACAATACAGAGGAAACCTAGAGACGTATGAAGTCTTTCTGGAGACTTAGCAGAAAAAGTAAAAAAGGAACTGAAATTTTGTTAAAGTAAGGAATTACTCACGGATTTGAGTGAGACAAGGTCTAGGTACTAGATTCAAGTCACAATGGGTACCTTATTCATGATCAGCTTGAGCGTCTTCGCAACGCTGTTAATTCATATGTGAGTAAGCCGTACAAAAAAGATCTTCGATAGAAAGAAGTACAACATAGTTCAAATCCTCAAAAATGGATGTGTAAATCAAATTGTTCATTTCAAATAGACAACTATAAGTACTTGAACGCTAAAAAAATGTATCAAAAAGTTCAAGTTCTTTGTCAGTAGCTATGTCAGTCTGTCCTCTAGTGAAGCTATTTACTCGTTGCAAAGTGTAAATTCCTATGAGCAAGAAACTCTATGGTTAGGTTCTCTTTGTCAATCTGTTTTACAATAATTTTTGTTACATTGTTTTGTCGATAAAAATAATAAAATCGAAAACTGCCTGAAATCCGATCTTTTTACAGACAAAAGCACTTAATTCCTAATCGTCGCATAGTAGGTACTTGGAATATTAATTCCGTGCTATAAAATAAAACTGATCGGTGTCCATAATATTTTTTAGTACTACCGTTAATGTCAGGCCATTCGCTCCTTTTATTACTGCACAACAATGATGTTTTAACGCGGCCCGATCGCCTCCACAATCCCTCTCTTTCCATGTGAAATTTTATAGATCGTAAAATTCACACTAATTTGTTACTTATCGTGTGAAAACGGATTCACGTTTACGAGGTCAAATTTCTCTTGTTACAGACAGCCTTTTTGATATGTAACTCCACGCAGGAACCTACAAGTTTCAAGAAAACCAAGTCTTAATTTTTTATTTTTAGAAATGTGCCCATTGCTCTTGTTTAACCTAGTCACAAATAAATTGTCACGAAAGTCTGTCTTGGAAATTATTAACCATTTTTACGTAATCAAACATATCTGCGTTGCTTAATTTGCGACAGAGACTCCCTAAGTAACTAATATGAGATTAGTTATTTGTTTCGGCCGTTAGTGGACGAAATATATCTGTTCATTCTTCAATATTTACAAGCATATTTAGTAATAAGACTCATCCACTGAAGACTGACTGAGAATAACATGATAAAATACAATTCTCACGAATCCAGTTTGTTTTATTTATGAGACTTAGTCACTTTTTCTCATACTTTATCTAAAAAGCCTTATCCATAACCTTGGTCTTATTAAAAGACTGCATAAAACATACTAAGAAAATTGCAAATCAATATCCTAGATAACTTCAATAATCGCAACAAAATGGTTTGGATTCTGCGAAGTGTGGAGATAATGGCAATCTAGCTTTTGTAGAGGAAGTTTTTAGAACATTAGTGAACTGACACGAGGTTTTAATGGATCCGTATGTACGATTAAATCTTTAAATTAAAGATGAGAGTTTTTTTTTGATTGAGTGATTGAAGAGGAACGGTTTATATTTATAATAACATCCAATAAATAGTGGAGAAATTTAGTATTAGCACTGCACCATTGCGACGCCGCCGCCGGAGCGGGTCGCTAATCCATATACATATATAAACATCAATGCCACTTTTCGTTGTAATGTAATAACTCAACAACGCCATTACCGATTTGGCTAATTTTGGTCTTGAATTATTGGTGGTCCAGAGAGTTTGTGTGTAAAGAACATTATAAAAAATCTTTAAAAATTGTAACATCGACATAGACGCGGGCGGAGCCACGGGCAGGTCGCTATAAATGTTGATACTTAACCTGCTTTGTATGATTGTTTCCAGCTTTCTGGGCGTTCCTATACTTCGTTGGGTTCTGCTACCTGTCCAACGCGTGGGGCAAGACCGATAACCCCCCAATGGGCACTGCCAACAATATGCAGGGAGCCATCGCGTTCTGTTTCTTCTCTATCTTCGCTTGGGTGAGTAAGCAGGATACATTTAGAATAGGTACTCATTAAAGTGCTGGACCAACACCTATCTGACACCATCAATGTTAAATTGAAATTCATTCTTAAATGAATAAATACCTAAGGTCGAAAGTTGTAAGTCTTCTTCAAGAGCTTATTTGTATTATCTTTTTAATTTCTAAAATACTTGCATGTACACACAATCGTATCTGTAAGAGATATTGAACTACCCACTACTACTAATAACTTAGCTTAACAACCAGGATTTTCACATAAGACGTCAAGTTTCAAAGAGCCATTACAGCACCACAGGTGGGGCTCGCTAAGATCCAGCCGGGGTTACAGGTGCAAGCACAGTGATGCACCGCGTTCCTGCCAGGAGCAGAAGAAGGGACCAGTGGTTTTTAATCAGAGATAAACTCTTACTTAGCACATGAAACGAAGACACAAACAAATCAACCACTAGTTCTACTGTCTATTTTGTTAAACGAAGTTACTCTCTCATCTGCCTAACTAACAGTAACTAATAATATAATTATGTTATCTTCCACAGGTGGCTTGTGCGTTCTTCGCTTTCCAGCGGTTCCGCGTTGGTGCTGACGCTGCATTCGCGCCGGCGTACGAGGTAGAGGGCGCTGTAGGCAGCCCTGGCGCCTTCCCCGCATACCCGTCCGCCCCCGACCCACAGCCCGCCTACAGCGACCCACCATTCTCGCAGACACATGCTTCTGGTAAGCTTAGGATTAAAACGAATGATGATACGCCACTAGCTTTGTTCGTATACCTACTTCAAGTATTTTATGAAAATAATATTACAAACTAGAAACGTCAAAGCCATATTTGATCATTTATGTTCATATGTCCTCCTTATATCGCTTCTCCATAAAGCGATATCCCAACGAATCCCACGAAGTGGTTCGCCTCCAGTTTTATAATCAGAACTGCTAAGGAGTAGAATTCTTTGCCAGAGTCTGCGTTTCCCGAAGGGCCATCAAGGTCCGATTGAATGGGTTGCCTAATAAGGGGTGCACCATTGTAGGTCCCATCATCGCTTAGGTACCACCAGTTGTAATAGTGGCCAAAGACCATAGAGGAAAATGGTCATATCCTCTATGCCAAATACCCTTTACGTAATGAAAAAAATCCATCTATCTAGCTACAATGATGAAAATCTTGCGTAATACAGAAAATATTACTAAAAGTACCTAATTACTTAAACAATGGTCAAATCGTATTAAGGGCATTGCCCTAATTCCCTTAATCCCTAATTAGTTGAACCTGCTTCGATTTAATACCGTACTAACCTTGATTGTATGTAAGTTATCATGTAGATACCTACATATGTGAAGATACTTATTGGTTTTACCACATTTAGCCAGTGAAGGGTATTTAACCCTTTTTTTCTCGAAGTGATATTTAGGCACTTTCCAAACATGGCTACCAAACCACCAATAATTTCTGTAGGATCTAAGACACTGTTAACATAAGTAGGTATATCCTTGGAGTGAAGAACCGCAACATCTTTATTTATTCATGCTACTAATATTTTGTAAACTTGGTATTTTTTTTTGACATTGTCTTGTTGTTTTTGAATTGTGTTTTTCTCCTGTGTCGTGAGTGCGTTTACAAACATAATTATAATGTTATTTCACATATCACACCCAGGCTCATAACAACAATTTTTGGATCACACAAAGAGTTGTTCTGTGCAGGAATCGAAAACGGCAGCTGGTTGCCGTTATTTATATAATTAGGTATAGTCATAAATAGGTACCAAATATTACACTTTTAAAATAAATAGGTTCGATGTAGGTATAAATCAGGATTTTCTGACAAAAAAACAGGTTCTTAAGAAAAAACCATAAAGTTTATAAAAACTAATTTTTTTTTTGTTCTTATTTTACAGGAAACATCGACTACACGGCCCCAACCTACTAAGCTGTTACGGCAAGAAAATGAATAGAACATTATCAAGTTTATTTGCAGACACACAAAAACTGAGCGTAAGTAATAATACCTTATTATTACTGCAATACCTTCAATCAAAAACAAACTTACCGATGAAAAAAACGACTAAGTAATTCATGGTCCTTAGTCGATTTTCACCAGTCGATTATCAAAATCGATACTTACCTATTTATTAACCAAAGATTTAAACAGTTTTACTTGTATAAAGCTTTATTTTATTAGTGGTAGCGCTTTTAATGGTTGGAAATGTTAGATAAGTATAAAAAAATACATTTTGATGATATTTTTTGGTTATTTTCATTACCAAAATAGACTTTACATATCTGTCGCCCACAAAACTGTTAAAAGGCTGTAATTCTCCGCTAACTTCAGCCACGGCGTTCAATGTGTTAATTAGCATCAACCAGCAAGCCATTATGGTTTCAAATAAAAATTATGATTTGAATAAGAACCAGTTAATAAATGCATTTGTACCTAAGTAAGTACATTATCCAGACTTTTTTCTTATTTATCCATCCATAATTCCAGATTATTTTCTTACTTTATCCATCCTTTAAAAGTGTTATTTACTAATAAAAAAGTTTATAAAACAAATTGAAGTACCTTTGTAATTATTAAAAATGTTTCAGTGATAGCAATCGTGTCCATTTATTTTAATGAAGCTTATTTTTCTATTTATTTGTTAAGCGTAGTTGTAATCAGTCATTATAACATTTACTATATTAATACCAAAGTTGATGTATATTATAATCAGATAATACTTATTATATATAATATTTATTCAAATATATGAACGTGTTTTGCTTCACAGTACCTGCTTGTAGGTATATCTCGACAATATTCACGTGTATAATGTTATAACATCGTATTATATTGTAAATATCAATGTATGTACACTAAACAGATATATAAATATAAAATAATATTCCAAGGTCTCAAGCGACGTCATAATAATTAGAATGTAATAGTTTTTAATTAAATTCCCAATGAATTAATATATAGTATAGCGTTTCCTAGTCTTGTAACTGCGATTAAAAGACATTGTTCCAATAGTTATTAAAAAAAGATTTTTTATTTTTTCTATCCTGTACTCTAAACATTCGATGGTGCTGCCATCTAGTCGTTTGAGGCCGCAACGCGGTGATATTTTTTTTAATCTCAAGTTTCTTCGCTATCATTGTGCCATGTCTTTGAAATTTATCGAAAGTTTATTTTTATAGCAAAAAATGTTGTTTTTCCTAAACAACCATGTTCATTACCTCATTCTAGCTATGTGTATAGGATAATACAAGTTACTTATATACTTAAGCGCAATCCTGAACTCATTGTGGTTACTACAATAGGTATAAAATATATTCAAACAAAAGATATTACTCTTATGAATCTCGAAATTGTGAAGAAAGCTATAATTAAAGCACCAATATAAACAAAAACAAGAATTATAAATAGGATTAAATATGTACCCTGTTTTCACGTACAAATAGTACAATGCACTTAAACTGTGCTTAGGGCGAGTTATATTCTCACTAAGAAAAACGAAATATTATTAAATGAACATCATTACATTACTGTATAATATTTATTAAATAATGTTTAGAGCTCTGTGTTAATTTTAGATAAATAACCTAAGTTTTTGAAGTGAGTAGTTTTGTGCGATTTTATTCAAAGTTATTAGTGCATGATTAAAAAAATCTCCTAGCTTTTAGAAATTTTTCGCTGTGATGACGTTTTTTTTTATTATTATTCTCTTTTATTTTATCTGTATTTTTTGTGCCTTCGTCACAGTGCTAATAATAACTGTTTTTTTCATCATTTTTGAATGTGAGGAATTTCTAATTCTTTCTGGATATGTATTGTTTTAAACTATATAACTGGTTATTTCATAAAAATTTGTGATTAATGCTACTTATAAGAAGGTGGAAAAGGGATCTTCCGGCTGTGATGTGAAGTTCTCGAAAGCTAGATTCATTCTTTTTTTTTAAACAACCTGTATAAAAAAGCACTTACAGCATTGAAATAGCCAAGTTGGATTGGATGATTTTAATTTCAGTTATATGTAGCTGCCCTACTCAGAGCCATTAATTGGTTACTATAAACAGCCCTTAGAGATTTTTTCGGGACAAAATCATTTCTAAGAAATAGATTGATTAATAATTAAATGTCTCTGAGTAAGGCGATAAGAATGTTACAATTTTGCCATTTCTCCCTTAGAATAAAATATCTTTGAGTACCACAAAATGTAAACTAAATGATCCAATACATTCAGTATTAATACATAGATTTATCATATACCTATGTATAACTAAGCGCTTTACCCAAGATCATAGTATTTTTTTAATATAAAAAAGATTATATTCTAGTAAACGCTATCTTATTACTATTAGACTATTAAATATTTAATTTCTGGGCACATTTTTATTATTACTCTTGCATATTTTTAGTAAACTTACTATTACTAAGCTGTCGGTGTAATATTGGCTCTATTAGGCTGGTTTTACAGTCACGCGTTTCGGCAGCGCCGTCGGGGCGCGCGCGCTCGGATATGTATTGGGGTATTAGTAGCGTTTCAAATTCGCGCGCTTGAGCAGCGCCGTTCGTTGAACGCGTCCTACTCGCGCGGCGCGGTCGAAGCGCGCGCCGCTCGTGCGCTTCTACGGCCATTGTGCGTTTTAGTCTCACGCCGTTGAGACGTGCCGTTAGGTACTGTTGTGTACAAAATGAATCACATCGATACGGGTCGAGTAATGAATACGAAGTGCGAATTAGAAGATGTTTATGGGACCCGGCCGATGATTTTTATAAGAATAAGGACGCAAAAAATAAAGCCTGGGAAGAAATTGGAAAGGAATTGTGTGAAATCAACACCTACTGTTCTTCGACGTTTTTGTTGCCTTTTTTCCATAAAAAGTAAATAGCCAGTACTCTAACCGCATTGTCGTTCATTTTGTATCTGTTTGTACACGACTGTCAGCAGCGAAACGCGACGTACTAATGTCGTTTTATGGTGCACCGCTGTTCAAACGCGCGCTGTCCAACAGCGCGCTGTCCAACGGCGCGTCTAGCGGCGTGACTGTAAAACCAGCCTTAGAGTGATTTAAGGTCTAAAATTGAGTACAAAACAGTTGACCCCGGGGTGAATAATTGAAATGTGTCCTGTAGGACTTTGAGGAGTCGGCTTGCTGAAAGTTTGATGTTTAAATAATGGAATATTATCTGTACGTGTGATTGCTGTACTCACTATGTGTAGGAAAGTACTTATGTGTGTAAATGGTGTTCTATTATACTTACATATAATATATATATCGATATATCTGGAAATATGTATTTGATTCGATATTACGTTCAAATGCGATGTTAAGATTCGTATTTGTCATGAATTAGAGTGTTTAATGTGTGCAATAATGGTTCTAACCTGTATGTATTTATTGAATAAATATAAATGGATATTATAGCGTGATATTTATCAATGTTGACTTCATATGTCAGCAAGCCTGTAGGTGTCTTTATCACTTCCATAGCTTGCACTATTGTTTATAAATAAAATCTTAGCAATAAATCTGTGTTCAAATGTATTCGTTATTCAAAAAGTATTTATTCACGGTTAATGTTGGCAACACTTACATTTTTTACGCTTGCAAGCTTAACGAGTGACGAGTACATTTGAAATGTGTAATGTTCATATCAGTCTTATGTGTTAAGGGCATCGTAGTATGTATTAAAACATTTCAACCAAGGTATGTATTTTAGTAATATATAAAAATATATTGTACTAGAAGCTTTATCATTTTCACGTGAGAAACAGAATGAACTAAACTAAAACGTTAATTAACCTGTCACTAATAAAGTATTTTGATATAAAAAGTTTGAAGACGACTTATTGGCTCCCTATAATAAAAAATGTAAGCCAAGTTGTCAAAATGGAAATATTTTAGAAAATTCTAAAACAAATGCCCTTCAAGCACATGATTGATAAAAAGAAATTATAATACTTTATATAAGTAAAATGAAATAAAAATGTTATATCTATCGTTTACAAACCGCTGAAATGTAAACATTCTGTACACTATACGTAGATAAATTTAGCCGTAGATATCTTGTATGTTGGTTAGTATGTTCAGAAGATAATAAAAAAATCTACTAAACATTAAAAAAAATATCGTAATAAGTGTTGAGTATTTTAATGCTAAAGTCGTTCAGTGTTCGGTAAAATAATGTTAAGAGCGTGTGTAAAGAGATTCTTCATGTTGATTTTATTTTTTTATTTTATTATTTGTACTTACTTGCACTTGAATTGTGTACCAGAGCTATTTTGAAAAGAGATGGGTTGAGGGTAAATAATACCTTTAATGTAATTTGATCTCGACAAAATCCAAATTATATTTTTTATCGTTGTTTGTTAATTTAAATTATTTTAATAATGTTTGTTGAGGTAATTACAATTTAATAGTTCGAGTATTATTTAATCATAAAATATTCCAAACCATTATACATTTATTGGTTATTGTAACAGCAAAATAACCTATTCAAAGAAGAGAGGGTACTTAACTTTCCGCAATTTCAAAGTACCCTCAAATTATAATTTAAGGAAATTGAGTCAACTCTTCATCTCATCTCAAAATTAAGACATTTCTGTGTATTTGTTTGGTTTTCCGTTTTGTGCACATTTTGTGTATAACTATCGTATTGAACTACATGTAGTAATTTAAAAGTTCTTGTTTATTCTTTCACTGTTTGTGAGTACTTAAATCAAGTAAAAAACATTGTTGCTTTACCATGGTTTGATAATTTCAATGACAATAAGCCATGCTGCTCATTAATCTCCTAGTACCTACCTACTTGAGACTAGTATAGTTATCTCGTCAAACAGTTACGTAAGCAAGCTGCTTAATATATCTAATACACTGATACTAAGTTCAATAAAAAACTAATTTTAAGAGGACTAGAAAACAAAACATTAACTGCCTTATTACAAAACAAGGACTTTTTACTTTAGGACTATAACTATTGAGCCAGTTTTTGTATTTCGAATTGAAGGTAGGTGTGGTTTAAATCTGGACTAAAGATAAATTAAAGATAAAAGAAAAAATT